AAAAAAATATCACTAAAATCAGAAAATAATTAATATATATGACATTCTCACTTTTTATACATTTGTTCTAAATACGAGCCATGGTGGCGCTAGTTACTTAATAGAAAACCATCATAAGGTTGACAGAGAAACGAAAGACAAATGCTCAACCAAAATTCTGTATTTTTCAATTAATAGTGTATCGAATTAACATAATAGAATACATTAAAATACTTTTGTGACTTACTGTTGCTAGATGTTTATAATAAATTTACTATAAATATTGTACGTTGATATAATTTCAAGGCTTCTCTCTTTTTATGTATTGGCATCATATTATTTTTGGTTTAACGTGAATATTTATCTCATTAAAAGTGAAAAATGTAAACGTTGAAATACTTTCGTGTGAGAGTGTATATGTACGACAACTCGTTCCCTCACAGCAGGAATTCGAGCCTTCATTTTTACTGCTACCTTTCCACGATTATGAACACCTCGACGAATATCGGTAAAAACGTCGAATTACTAGAAGCTGTTAACTTCTAACAAGCGAATTCCATTTTTATAGCTACTAAACACGGCTGGATAGTTATTTATTATTTCGTCGTGTTCCGTCGAATGCCGTTCGTGTTTAACAATGGATGTGTAAAACTCATTGGTAGAGTTTAGTAGAGGATTGTGAATATTTTATGGGTTGAATCGTAATTATGGTTTATTATGTTTCGGCACTAAATCGAAAATCTGTAACAAAGTGACGGAATTAAATTAGGCAGAATGGTGAAGAAGTGATGATTACAATAACAAAAGTAAGTTAATTTGAATGCTAAATAAACGAGGTTAATGGTAACGAGAATGAATTAAATCGTAAAGAAATAGTTATTAGTAATAATAAGAATGAATTAAATAGAATACTAAATTGATAGTGTTAATAGTAAGGAAATAAATTAAATATAATTTAATACCAATGAGAATAGATTATAAATGAAAATAGATGTTAAATAAAATGAATAAAAATAAATTCAATAGAATCCTAAACTCTCGTGGAAATAACGAAGAGAAAAATTAATTAGTATGTTAAAGAAATAAGACAAATTTATTGTTGGTAACTCAAAATTTAGTGCAATAATATTTTCAAAAAAAAATTATTTTTAAGAGAATAATATAAATAAATAGAAAATTACCGAGTCAAAAATTATAATCATAAATTATGTAATTTATGGAATAAGATAAATTGAAGAAAGTGTAATTAATGATTTCTTTTTTGATAATACTTTAAAATGAACATAAAAAATGGAACGTTGAATAACTTTTATAATCATAATTATATATTATATTTAATTTCTATTTTTAAAAAATTTATAATCAAAAGATTATGATAAAAACTGTTATTGCGAAGAAGATTTTCTAAAAATATGTTATTTTACAATTTGATAAATCCTTATGACATATTACATTTAAAATAATACCATTTATTTCAATTGTACCTCAATAATTTCACTTTTGAAAAAACCTTACAATTTAGTATCATAATTCCAAACTTATATTTTTGAAATTTGTAATATAGTATTATATTATTTATACTATAATATTAATGTAATTTTATACTGTAATATTAATATAATATTACTTACCATAGATTAATATGTAACTGTATTTCTGCTCATTTATTTTCCTAACAACTATAAATCATTAGTTCGCAAATGGCCCGCAACGACTGCGATTCACTTCGGATTTCTCGTTTCGAAGTAATTTTACGCAACGTTCTCTCATATATTCATAAGCAAGTCGCCTTTCGCACGTACGGTTAATATTGTACGTTAATCTATACACTGTATTTTTATCACGCTTGCGCCTGTTACTATTTTTGTTTCGGTAAATGAGCACTTAGGAAAGCAGATGTAGCGAAAGCGACTCATTTCTTTCACGCAACGTCGTTGAAGCACACCTGTTGCCTCACGTTCAACGCTGTATTAATCGATCGATTTGTTAAATTCGATGCTTCGTATTTTCCTAAATTCATGTCGAAATTTGTCGTAATCGTTGGAAAAAATTTTCTTCGTACACGATTCATTAGCAACAAAAATATCGCGTATTTTTCTGAATTTTATACGACACGTGGAGTTCAAATCGACCCACCTGTCAATTGACATATATATAACATACTACTCGGATAACATACTTTTATACTTCGATAGCCTACTTCCTTAAAATTTTCCACTAGCAAATTATTAATACAAGAGGCTCTCTAGATTTATTATACTATTATTACAAAATTTATCAGCATCATCAACAGTACCTATTTTCAGTTAAACTATATAACAGTTTTTAAGATCAGAATTAACGAATCAGACTATGTACCTGATATCAGACTTTGTTCATGCAATTATTGAATATATAAAACTGGTTTTAAAAAAGTTAAGGTTTATTTTCGTATAGGGAGAAATATAATTATATATATTTACGTATGTATGTACTTATTTGTTTTCATTATAATACGTTAGTTATTATTACTTGTATACACGAACTTTAGGCATGAGTCGGTAGTTCTAATGTTAAAGAATAAATTTGAGTAAATATCAAGTGAAACGAATAAGAACATAAATAAATGAAATTCACTAAAGAAAGGGAATTTAAAAATTATGTAAAAAATCTGTAAATAATACGAGTGGTATATAAACAAGAAAGATTTATTTTAAGAGAAAAAAGAATTATTAAACAATATACTGATTAATTATATTACAATGTTAACTAATTTATTGATGTAATATATCTACTTTTTAAACAATTGTGACTTGATGCTGAGAAATAAGAAAAAAATCAAAATAATTATTGCATCTTAAAAGGAGCCTAAATACCAATATTCAATATTAACTATTTCATTAACATAATATATTTATTTATTAAACAACTCAATTATTCAAATATAAAGAAATAGATCAATACCCAAGTATATCACACAATGGTACAAAAATCGAAACAAAATGATCACTCCATTTTACAAAAAATAAAACTCAAATAACAATATGCAATATTAAAAATTTTATTAACTTAATATAAATAAAAGAGAAATAAACATAATATCAATATTAAATAATCTATTAACTAAATACATTTAATTAGTAAGAAAATATATCAAAAGAAAATGAAATAATCATTCTATATTACGAAAAAGGAATCCAAATAGTAATGTTCAATACTAACTAACCTATTAGGATAATCTATTTATTTAATAAACAATCCAGTCACACAAACACAAAATTTTTTTTGTAATACTCAACCTATTACACACATAACTATTAATTTATTAACTAAACATATAACTAACAAAATAAACTAAAAACAAATGTCTTCGTTTGCTTTAAATGTATTATAAATTAAATAATTGATCTTATCAAAGCTACGAATTCATTATAATAGTGCAATTGTTTAGCATTTCGATGTATATTTTACACTTTAGAGGATCATCAAATCTTATATGAATAAATAGAGATATTTATAAAATTTCTTTTTATCCGTATTATTTAATTAAATATTTATTAAAAATTATTTCAATTTTAATAACATTTTTATTCACCGATTTTCAGTATCTTAATTATGTTACAGGACCTGACAATTTTAAAATAGCAAATTCAATATCAACTCTTCCTCATATTAAACCTGAATGATGTTTTTCAATAGAAAATTATTTTACTATTAATTTATTTTAATTTTAATATTTTTATTCGATAATTTTCAGTGCTCTTATGATATTAAAGATCCTGATAATTTTAAAATAGCAAATTCGGTATCAGCTCCACACATTAAACCTAAATGATACCTTTTACTAATAAATTGTTTTATTTTACTAGAATGTAAACTAATACGACACAAATAAAACGATAAAATTATTTCTTCTAAATTCTTTCCTTGTAGCACTTTCATAGTCAACTATATATGAGCCGTTCACTGCATAAATTGATTAACTCCAAAAAACAAAAAGTAGAGAAATGCAATGAAATAATGTACATCGTTTTTTGAAATTTCCTTTATAATTTAAATCGAAATAAATATTGTAGAATGCATAAATACAAATATAACTTTCATCTAACGGTATATAAAATTCATAAGAAAAAATAGCCAAGAGATAATCGTTAGTAATGTCACCATTTTTATGTTACTGGAAGAGTTAATCGATTTGGCAAGCGAAAAAGTAATAAATTTAAATTTTACTAAATTTTACTTAAATTCTGATAAGACGTTTCTAAAAAATTCACCGTTATCATTCATGGCTTGTTATGACTCATGCATTTGAGTTGCATTATTGCAACGATTTACATTAGAGTACGGAGTTAATCAAAGTGACTTCTGAAATAAATTATTTATTATTCAGTGGCCAACAAATTTTTGTCGTTTAATGGTGATAATCTTAATTATCAGGGAAAGTTATTATAAATATAAAATGTTATGACTGTACTAAGTGCTTTGACACTTAAATTTAAGATTTTTCAAAAAGTGGAGTTAATCGATTTGTGCAGTGAACGGCTCATATATCCCTTAATAACACGTTGACTACCACGAATTTTTCATATGACATGCTCAGAGAGCCACGATAAAATTTTCATTATTCTTAACATATTACGACAAATTATCAATCAATATAGCCAAAAAAAGGAGTAAAAATGCAGCATATATTATCAATTTTCTCTATTCATTTACGTTCGAATTTTCAAAGAGTTCTTAAAACAAACAAAATATCATAAATTTAAAAAATATATCGTGACCGCCGGTATACGGTGACCACCGTGGTAGTGAAGGTGTTAAAAAGACGAGAGAAACCGGAATACCAATTTCTCCGAGCTATCCCATTGCACATTCCGCTTCTAAATTCGACGCGGCGTCCGGTCGATCGGTTCCCGGTCGCCAAGCTACGTCACTGCGTCGACTCACACCTGTTGCCCTGAATAGAACACGCGGGTGATACGTCACTGGCCGTAAACTGTTGGCACGGCTCACCTGTTGGCCTCAACAGTGCTTGGCTGGGTTGTTGAGCGTGCGGTTCCTTTCGCCCGGCGCTGCTTCGCGATCACTTCGTTATCGTGTCTCCGTCGTCTGGCCGTGCGTTACTTTGTGAATCGGCCAGCAATCGATCGTCCAACGAAATTATTCCGCCGGTATCCACAATTATTCCATCGTGGCCGTGGCAAGGGTGAGCATAGGCGGTAGCATCGACGACGCCCACAGGAACGGAAACAGCGTCGCCCGTAGAAGGGAGGAAAGCGAAAAGGGAGGAAAGGGGAGGACAGCAGGACTTTCCACGGATTCCTGAACACGGTGGATTCGCGTCGTAGCCGGATTGTATGCAAATACCCGAAGAAATATCCGCGAGCTTGTATCTGCCTCTGTGTCTGACCCCACCAGCCTCCGCTCGGCTATCGTGTCGTTATTTACGCTGCTGACTAACGTTCCCGTGGAAGAGGTCCACTCCAGCCGATCGTGCATACCGCGCGATCGTTTCGCACACAGGTAATTTCCAGCATCTTATTCTTCAATTTTACATCTTCCGTGTCTTTGTCCTTTTTTCGGGACGCCTTTTGTTTGTTTCCGCGCAGTGAAATGGTTCCGAGTTGTTGGCTCGTTGGAGTGAAGGAGAGAGGGACGTGATGATAGGAGATAGCGTGTATGAAGATGATTAGGGTATTTAGATTTGGGGATTTGTTGTTGGCTCGTTGGAGTGAAGGAGAGAGGGACGTGATGATAGGAGATAGCGTGTATGAAGATTAGGGTATTTAGATTTGGGGATATTGATAATTGGTTATCGAGGTTATTCGAGCATTTATGTTAACGGGAGGATCCGTTGCGGTTCTTTTGGATTTTTATGATTTTGGAGGTTTAGATGATGAAGATTGATATGAACGAGGAAATTGAAAAGCATAGTAACGGTATAATTGGAGAAATATTATTAAAATGTTGTACCAGTTATAGTATATTTTATAGCATGAATCGTGTTATAAAAATAAAAATGAAACCTTTTTGAATTGCTGGGTATGTTATCTAATCGATGATTATTGAGAAAAATAGAGAGGATTCTAGTGTTTTTAGAGATCTACAGGCAAATGATTGCTATTAACAAAGGAATAAAATATTACAATAATTATACAACTAAAGAAAGACTATCAAAATATTATGTCTATAATATTGCATTATAAATCATGTTAAAAAAGCACCGTGGTGGTAAAACAGAATAATAATAGTATAATTACATAAATATTCTTGAAATATTATACTATATATGTTATAAATCATATTACAAACTATATATATTAATTTATTTTTGAAATATTTCATTCTATATATTATAAATTAAATTACACTAGAGAAAATAATAAAAAATAGAAATAAAAATAAGAATAATAATAATAGCAATAGGAATATTATTATTACTCGTTATTATTGTTATTGTTGTCGATATAAAGATAATCGAACAAGAAAAATGACAATAAGGATAATCTATAATAGATGTACAAAATAATTTGCGGAGTATATATAGAGAGATTGGAGTCTTGCAAGTCATGTGGGGTTATGGAGGATTAAGAAGAGATGTAAGGGGATATCTGGGTGTTTAATGACAAGACAGCAAAGGTATCGAGACGAAGCACGAAAGTTTCCGCGTTAAACTGTGACCTTGGGGTAGTCTTCGATCAAACTGGAAATTCAAATTGGGCTTCGAGGAAAACGAGATATCTCGTTAAATGTCAATCGACTGCATTGAATCCTGAAACAGTTCGTATTCCTGGGAACGAAATCGAAACAGGAGCGATACGCAAACGAAAGTTGAACGTAATGTACGTGCTGAACGTACAGACTCGGTGAAGAATTGTAAAAACTGTTTTTCATTCCATTAAAATTTGTGGAATAATTTTACCACACGTAAGGATGAAATAGAATTACAATGATTTTGGGTGTTTAAGTCATTGTTATATAATTTTGAATGAATAGGTGAATAATTATGAGAGGAATTAAGTATAGTAGAATAATGTCGTTATGTCATAGTGAATTCGCGTGTGCTTTGTTCGCGTGTCATTTCATTCATTCTGAGAGAAACTTGTCCACGTGTATGTGTGTGTAATATTCACAGATGGAAAGACGACATCGATCTGATCATTTATTCTGAATAATATTTACATTAAGTGTCGAGAATCACATTTTCTCTATACAAGAATTTCTAAGTTATACGTGATTGAAAATGTATGATAAATTAGTAGAATTTGTTATAACTTTATATTTAAGAATTGCACTAAGTACCTCCAAGTAATATTTAATAACAACATAGGAATACTATTTTAAGATTAATTCAATAAATAAAGTAATAAAATAAATAATTCGTTATACGAGAATTTCTAAGTAATACGTGATTAAAAATGTATGATAAATTAGTAGAATTTGTTATAACTTTATATTTATGAATTGCACTAAGTACTTTTAGATAATATTTAATAGCAATGTAGGATTCTAATATTAATTCAATTACTATTATTACTATTACTAATAACTATTCAAATGTTAATTCAATAAAGAAAGTAATGAAAGAAAAAATTCGTTATACAAGAATTTGTAATATTTAATTAGAAATGTACAGTTAATTAGAAGAATTTATTATAATTTTATGTTTGAGAATTACACCAAGTACTTTTGAATAATATTTGATAGTAACACAAAAATATTATTCTAGCAACAACTCAATAAGCAAAGTAAATAAAATAGAATTCATTATACTAAATCATTATTTCTCTCTAAAGTTTATACCAATCAAAATCTTATTTAATGCTTAATTAATGTTCCTATTGGAAATAATTTTGATATTTATACCACAAAAGAATAGAAATAATTTAAAGGCGAGCTCTATGGCTCGCTATATCTACATAGAACGTACTTTTATACCTATTATCCTTTCTAAGCACTTGCAAAACACTTTCAATCTCACTAGCATGCAAGAAAAATAATTTTCTCCGTCAAAAATGGACTACCAATCGGATAATTGACTGTTAATACACCGAAGTTCGTTTCGTGACTGCTGCCTGATGAAAGAACTCGCAGCTAATGCTCTGAAAGAAGAACAGTAAAAAAGATATATACCGACATAATTTCGTTCTTAAAAACCAGTTCAAACGTTTATAGACTATGATTATCAAATTATGGAATGCCTAGGTGTTTCCTTTAACGACTGGATAATTGTGTAACTAAAAAATCAATTGCATTGGTGCACTCTCGCTGAGTACAGTTGAACTAGGCATGGCTCCTTATCTCAAACGAAGGTCTAAACACGCGATGGTATTTAGAAGGCAAGTATCAGTAATTTTCTAGCATGCTTCGACAACGAAGAAAAATATTTTCTGGCGAATTGTTGTTTTTCTTGAAAATCTAAGTAGCTTTGTACAATCGCGTTTAACACGATATTGTGCGATAGTTGAGATAAGGGGAGATTGTTTCCTGTGGTAACATTTATCGTGAAAGATATTAAGATAATCATGTTTGAAGGTAGAATAGACCCTTTATTTCGAAAACAGAATTTTGCCTACTTATAAGAACAAAAACATTGTAGTTAATTATATTTTTTACTCCCATATGCAAAATGAAGAATATTTAATTGGCATAAATTCAGGCAAAGATATTAAATAATTAATATTTTGCTTACTTCGAAGAGAAGAAAGTTTTGGTCAATTATACTGTTCACTTTGATACGAAAATTAAGAATCGATCATTCTTGATATTTAAATTTATGAATTGTTTTGATAAATTTATACAATGATATAGTATAACTAGAATTTCGTCTATTTTTGAGAAAGAAGAAATTATGGTTAATTGTATTTTTCAATTTAAAATTAGGAATCGATAATTTTTGATATTTAAATTTATGAATTGTTTTGATAAATTAATACAATGATATAGTATAACTAGAACTTCGTCTATTTTTGAGAAAGAAGAAATTATGGTTAATTGTATTTTTCACTTTAATACCAAAATTAAAAATTGATAGTTACCAGATTAGGATAATTAAAGATTGACAAATACTATAGATAGATGCAAAAATATAATATAACTTAAATTTTGAATAGTTAGGAGAAAAAGAAGTTTTAATTAATTTTATTTCTCACTCTGATGGCAGAATTAAAAGTTAACAACTGGGACGAACTTGTGTAAGGATATAGTATCGTATTAATTTTTAATGAAATATATTCAATGAACTGTTATTTTCAAAAGACAAAAATTTCTCTATAAGAAGTTTATTGTAAGAAGTTACCTTATCTTTTTGAAGAAGTACTATCCTTTTCTTTATTGTATACAATGGAGTACCCATTTGTCATGTCCACATTCTTTGCCTTCTCTGTGCTTCTTTCATGTGAACTATATATAATTCTACATAATGTTTTGGGGTTGCTCGTTCTCTCTTATTCTCTCTATCAAAACTTGGTATTTGGCACACATTTGTTATTACTACAAAAAAAAGAAATAACTGAAATCTAAAAATAAAAATTAGAAAATAGTACAGAGAAATTCCAATTACTAATTTATTAATTAATACAATAAAAATAGCGACAAAACTTTGGTAATAATTTATACACAACAAATATTTGTTGTTATTGGAACAAAAAAGAAGAAAAAATGACTGAAATCTAATAATAAAGTTCGAAAATACTACAGAGAAAATTTTATTACTACTTTATAGTTGTTTAATAATTATAGTTTAATATTAATAATTAATATTGATTAATAAAGTAAAAGTAGCGAGGAAACTTTAATACTTTACAAAAATTACAAAAATTACAAGATTGTACTGAATTATGAAACACATAAAGTTTTACAATAATACAATATTTGCAATAAATGCACGAGAATTATTTGTTGATATATATAGTAGTTACAGTAAAGTAAGTAAAAAATCAGAGCAAATTAGTATGGCTAATGAAAGTTGGAGATCAGTAGTGCACGTGTAAAAGCACTTAATGAATGTGAAATTAATTAAACTTGGCCACGAGTTAGGTTAAAATAACACAAGTACCTTAAATAATTACAATAGCTGAAATACCTATTTTTAGCCATTCGTTTCACTATAAATTATATATTATTTTCTATGTTATTATATATTTTATTCGTATCACTATAAATTCCTCAAATATTTGTACTCTATCTTTTGTATTTTTTCCTGGATTAAAAATCTTGTGCTGATTTCTGTACTAAGTGCATAGCAATTGCGAGATCTAAATAAATATAGAGCCGTTTTTAGAGTGCAGTCGAAAGATATTAAAAGACGTTAAACGATAAGATATAACCGATATTTACTCAGTGCTTTTTGTTTTTATTGCTGTGATTTCATCGATTGCCCAAATAGTTTGCTATTAAAATGTAGAATATAGTATGCTATGTAAATATAACATAAATTAATTCGCGTACATAAGTATTTCCAATACGCAAATGTTCATTTAAATAGCTTGCAAGAACTCTGGGAGATGAATGTTACCAGACAG